CGACAGGGTTACCCTCTTTCTCCTTTTCTATTTAACTTTGTTATAGATTTGATTATGGTAACAGCCCTATCCTCGTGCGAGGATAATGGCATCGGTTTACTCCCGTGTGGCAGGCTGCGTGATCTAGAATATGCAGACGACATTGTGCTACTAAGTGAAGACCCAGGTAAGTTACAAGCCTTTCTTGATAGTTTGAGTGCTTCTGTACCCAGGTTAGGTATGCGTTTTGCACCTTCAAAGTGTAAAATGCTACTCCAAGAGTGGGTTGATCCAGCACCCAGCCTCACTGTAACTGGGGAAGTAATAGAGGAATTAGATTAGTTTTGCTATCTGGGCAATTACGTCTCACCCGGTGGACGCGTCAATAGTTGAAGTGTCAGCTCGCATACAGAAGGTTCGGTTGGCATTTGCCAAATTGAGACATCTCTGACGCCGTCGCGACATCCGGCTGTCTGTTAAGGGTTGAGTGTATGCCGCGACAGCTCGGCCAGTTCTGCTATACGGCACAGAAACTTTGTCATTAAGAAAACAGGACAAAAATAGACTGTCGGTGTTCGAACACCGCTGTCTACGCATCATTGCACGAGTCTGGTGGGACAACCGGACGAGCAATGCTGAGATTAGGCACAAAGTTTTAGGTAAATGCGGTCGCCCACGGGAGCAAGTGGTCGACCTCCATAGATTACGTTGGTTGAAGCATGTGTTATGCATGTCACCAAATAAGTTGCCACGGTGAGCGATTTTCGCCGAGGTAGGTAGTGGGTGGGAGAAAGTCAAGGGTGATCAAACTAAGACCTGGCATGAGGGTATGAAAACCCTAATCAGGAGTCTGGGTCACAGGTCCCATTAAGCTTCCTGGCTGGGGACTTCGGGATGATCATACCCTATGGCTAGAGACACTGAGTGATATAGCTGGGTGTCGTAAAGTGGCGTTCGTGCATCTTGTCGATTTCTCTGTAAAATTAGTGTAGTGAATTCCTAAATCCTATTTTCAATCTTTCCTGTCCTTCTCCTTATATTCATCCAAATGGGTAGCCAAAAAACAGCAACCGAAACCGACGCACGAAAGTGCATGGTCAATGGTTGTAGAAACTAAACTAATTTCTTATGTTGATTGTGAAAAATTCAGTAGCCTCAGTGGATTTCGAGCCCACGCATCGGTGTGGTCTCGTAGCTCAGCTGGTAGAGCGTGCGCGTACAAAACGTAGGCGGCGTCCATGCGTGGGTTCGAATCCCACCGAGGCTACTGAACTTTTCACAATCCCCATGCAAAAACTTCAAATCTGCCAAGCAACCATTCACACAATTAACCTTGTCTTAGAAGCTCATTCAGTGGACTCCGGTGCATCCTGAGGAAAATCTGTTGGGCAGTCGGCTTACATGCTAACTGGTGGATGTCATATGCCTCTTTAAGTTAGATGGGTAACGCAAATGTGAAAAGATCAATGCTCTCGGTGTGGCCTTGTACTATCTAGATTGTCCAGAAGTCTCAAATTTGATTGGCTTCTTTCATCATCTTTGGCGGTTAGCCCTCCACAAATCATCGCTCGAGTTCGAGTTCCATCACTGGTGCCTAACATTATATCACTTGTAGGTCCTTCAACTAACCACTTGTTGAAAATTATTTGTACGGTCATAAAATGAAAGAGTTGAGTGTTGGGATTAATCAAATGTGATAAAATCGAGTATTGCTTGCACTGGACCGTACTGATTCTTACTACACCTGTTTTTACTCCCCTTGGTTTTCTGATTACTTATCTACTATGCTTTCAAATCGTTTCACCGCTTGCCTTTATACTGAACCATTGAACAAAACTGCGAACGGTGTTTCATCTAACTGATTTTTAAATTGTTTATGTCAATAGTCTATTACCCATATCTTGCTAGCTTTCAGCTGTATTTTTAATATTAACTAGTTGGTGGCATTTTCTTGTGAAGATGCAGACCTTTCATTTAATTTAGAGTAGCATATTTAGATTAGCCCATTCTATTGTTTGCAGTGTCTGGTGCCTCTGAACAACCAAACGGGTCTATCCAAACATGCTACTCTAAATTAATAGCATCATTCGCTTAAGGTGATAACCGCGTAGCTCAGGGCAAGGTTTTCGAATTCCAACCCGTAGGTTAGCGATTCGGTTCCTGACTAGGACACGCAAACGTACGCACGAACAGAGCGAAACACGTGTCCAGTGCTCGTTGTCGGTCATCACAAAGATTTCTATCTATTTTTGTACATCACTAGTGTCTTATGTTAATTCAACTCCACGTTATAGCTATCTGTATAACCGTTTCCACTAAATATGCCTTATCCAAACTTAGCCAATTGCCAAATCGATTGGTGGAGTGCCTATGGAACTGAAAGAGCCGTCCGCTGGTGGAGAACCTGTTGAACAGGAATCTACAAACAGATTGGACGTTGAACGTGAACGACAATACCTGCGCGAAGTGGTCGACAAAAAGGATCGCGAACGATGGAAATTGTATCGACAGGAACAAAATCGTTTAAAGCGTAAGAAATTGAAGGAGGCACGATTGAGACTACAAATGGCACAAAGTGGAGTCACACTACAATCCCCAGACAGCGACACCGTGTCCTCAGATGAACCCAGCGAGAATAGCGATCCAAGCCGTGAAAAACGCATCAGACAGTGAACTGTCAAAATTCCCCATCCTCCCTCTTGTAATTATTCTTCCTTTAAATATGGTAAATGAGCTTCTCTGTTTTTGCCATTCATATTACATTTGACCAGCTAAACTGATGAGTTGGTGACAAGTTTTTCATTTATTCATGCAAGGCACAACAAAAGGAGCAGGTGAATCAAGGTGGCGCAGTGGTTTAGTCGCTGTCCTCGGCGTCCTTTGGACCATATGGTCCGAGGTTCGAGCCCCGCTGCCGACACCCACTTTTAGGCAGCTTTGCTGTCGTTCGGTTCAATACCTCGCCTAACCTCGAGGGTCCTTATGTGGTCCGCCACTCCAAGTCCCGGTTCCCATCACTAAACAGCAAGTCCTCTTGACTATGTGGTTTACCCCGTCTGCTGTTCATCACACTAAATGTATGTGATAAAAAAGGTCATTCACTAGCTCAGAAGTTTGAGCACACTTACTGTATCAAAGTGGTCAGAATAGGACCTGGTATAGAGGCATGAAAACTCTAGCATAGATCGGTCAATGTTTAGTGGTCAATCTAACCGGTGATCAGGTATGATATGGTTGAGTGCTCTATATTGGTGGCCGTGTATCAACTCACATTTTACCCAATTTCATTTCTGATTTCTGTATCCTTGTGTTGATAGAGCTCCCAGCTTTTAGCTCTTCCGATTCATTTCTCGTTTATTGACCAATCGGACTACGGAAACCATCATGCGATTGTGCAGGATTAATGGTTGTGAGAATAAAACGGAATCGTGGTGCTGTCGAAACACCTCAACTATTCCTAAGAGCCAGACAAGTTCCTGGGTTTCTTTGTTCATCATTTCAAGTTACTCTAACTCGAAATAAGACTTAATATTAAAAGGCTCATAAACTAGTTTCTCTGTGTACTAAGGTAAGAGCGATACGCATGTGAAGTATCTTCAGAGTAAGACTGTAACAATTGTTACTAATGTGTGCATACCTCCTTCGTGCTCCCAATCAGATATATCTTCTTGCTTTGATCATTACGTCCCATTTTTGGTTACTATATTAGATAAGAATCTTCATTTGGCTGTTGGTGACTTCAACCATGCGTTTTTCCTCTGCTTGTTTTTGGCTTGTCCGATTTGTCTCATTTTCCTACAAGCTCCGTAACTTTTCATCAACCCTCATCTCTCTTCTCTGTCGTTCCATAACGGTTGTCCAATCTTGGTTTGCTTCTTGTTCGTCACTTCTTAACTCTGTCAGTCTTTTCACCGAAACGATGAAATCGATTTTCCATTTTTTCTGTCCCCTGGAAACACCGTTTGTTTGCAACGGCAAAATTACATCTCCTTGCTTGAACTCACTACGAATGCAAAAGGAATCATCCTTTAAATCTCACCATCCATGTGCTGTAAAGTACTATTCTAACTTAATTAAGGCTGAGATAACACGTTTAAACATGACGTTCGCTTCTCAAATCCCGCAAACGAAAAACGCAAGGCTTCTATGGCAAGGAATTCCTCTTCTCTGCGGACAAAAAAGGAAAAGCGTGAACAGTGATATTGATGTAAATAGCCTTAACGCTGCATTTCTTTATCCGTCTAACGATACCCAGATACCCTCTTTTCCATGTGAGGTTTTTAATTCTGATCTGTTCCCTTTTTCTAATGATGACACTTTTAAGCTTTTACGTTTCTTCAAACCATCGTCATCTGCGGGCCCTGATGGTCTTTCTCCAGCGTGATGAAATCCCTCATCAACGAGTCTCTTTCTGCACAGATGATCCCCTATTGCTGGCGACCAGTGACCATAATACCCGTTTCAAGGAACTCATCCTCAACCGTTCTTGCAAAACGTTTTCGTCCCATCGCATTGACGTCTGTAGTTCTAAAGTTGACTGAGAAAGCCATCCTGAGTCGCTTACAGTCACTTGTCACCATTCCCCATGATCCTCTTCGGTTCGCGTATAAACCCAACAGATCCACTTCGGATGCTGTGTCTACTCTGGTCCATTTTATAAACAATTCATTGAAGAGCTCTACCAAATCTGTTCGTCGCCGTTTTCTCCATTATCCGTCTGCTTTTGATTCGGTGTCGCGATCATCCATCCTTTTTAAGCTTGAATCTTTTGGCACCCTGAGACAGTTGCTTTCTGGTTATTTCACCGAAAGAATCCAGTGCAGGAATATCTCAAGTCCTCTAAGCAATAATTCTAGTGTGTTTCAAGGTGCTGTCCTCTCTCCGTATCTTTTCTCTGCTTTCATTAGTGATCTTTCAGTTCCACATCCTGCTCATATCCAAAAGTTTGCTGACGATGTCGTATGTCAGACCGTTTCTTCTTTGGAATTCTCGTCCTTCACTGGAAATTTGTCCCGAATCGAGCCAATCTAGCCTCAATCTTGGAGTGCAATTTTAGTTCTTCCCGATCTACATTCCCATCGGACACCATAACCCTTGCTTGCAACCTTTTGCCTTAGAGTGACCTCAACCCAATATCTGGGTGCTACTATTGATAGTAATCTTCGGTGGTCGACCCATTTAGAAGTGTATGGGAAAATTTCGGTGCATNTTTCACATTCCCCAACAAGATTTATTCTCCTTTGTTAAACAATGCGTTCTCCCTATCTTACTTTACTGCTCCTCTGTAGTGTTTCCCGGTCTATTGAAACAAGACTTTTAAACTACCCGTCGTGGGTTGATGACAGTAAGCCGTAAGTCAATAATCATTAATGGTCATATGAAGTCGTGTGTGACCTTTTCCAATAAAATCCTAAACGACCCCTCCCATCCTTTGCATCTTGATCTATCTTGTCGCTCCCACTCGATCACCAGTTCCTCTTATCGGTATCTTCCTTCT